TTTTTTTTTTTTTTTTTTTTAAATGAATTTATGGTTGTTTTAATTTATATATCACATATGGCTTACTTACAAATATTTAATAATAAACAGAGTAAAATAACAATTAAAAATAGTTTAAAATATGATACATATACACTGTAATGTCGTTAAATACAAATACGGTAAATAAGGACATTTAAACATAGTAGGTACTCAMAAAAGAGTATGCTTAACTACAATTGAACCAAACACATAATAAATGTTTTACTTGAAATCACAATTTATATGTTTTATATTTATATTAACAATGAACATTATTTAGTTTTAAATTTTATTATAATATTGTAGCGTAGATTGCGTAGAAGATATAAATGTCATACATAAATTTACATTTTGAAAAAAATCATAATTTTAATTACTTAAATCAATGTTGAATTACATGTACCGTTAATTACTTATTTATGATTAATGAACGGTATACATTGTATATATTATATATATACAGTATACACACATACACACACATGCACACACATTTAAATGTCTTAATCGTGTCTGGTTCACTGGGTCTTGTTTTTTTGTTTGTAGGTTTTTTTATAGAATTTAACAAACAAATAAAGAAATAAAAATACGTCAGCAAATATGTATGCAATGAATATTCTAGAAAAAGTGCAATTAAACACAAAAAGACCTGCACAATACAGCATTCCAATTATAAATTGTATCTGGAAATTACACATTATTCGTTAGACACACACATTTATTGTTAAGGATTTTAGGAGCAATGAATTAATACACGTCTTACTATTTGTATACGGGTTAGGTATTTTTTCCACCATAAATGCTTTTGGATGCTTGGCCCAAGTGCTGTTAAGAAATAGTAACTGTACATGACTACGTGAACAAATGAATTAATGATGGTTCCAATTGCAGCATTTTCACCTATTAATTACATATAGGTAGGTATAGTACAATCGTTATTAAATAAATGAATGGTACTTGAATATGTTTAAAATATTTTTCTTACACTTTTTAAAATAGACATTAAGAACAATGGATATCAGCTATTATGGTAATGTGAAACATGTAGATGTAAATATGTAATATTACTTTAGTATTAAGTATTAATTTATGTATACCTATTTAATTATTTAATTAAATCAATGTATTGCGGTATATCGTATATGGGTGTCCTAATTAACTCACTTATAAGTCAAACCAACAGAAACCTTTAGGTTTTTGGTAGGTACTTATAATTTATTGGTTCCTACTTTTGAATTCAGTTCAACAAACCATCAAATCTGGTTATGTCTTACAGACCTATAAATTTACTATCCTTTTTTKCAAAAATTGTTGAGAAATTAATTCTCAAACGAATTTTACCTAGTATCAGTGAAAATAAGATACTTTCTGACCACCAATTTGGTTTTCGTCAAGTTGATGAAATTTCCTACTCCCTGGAGAAAAAATTATATTGCATTTGTATCTTCCTTGATATTTCACAAGCGTTCGACAAGGTATGGCATAATGGTCTACGATTTTAAACTCAAAAAATGTACACCCTTCCTACTACCTTCTCATTAAATCATACTTAACTGACCGCAACTTCCAAGTATGTATTGTGGCTCCTTTGTCTCATAAAAAGCCCCTATAAAAGCAGGTATTCCTCAAGGTGRTATACTTTCCCCGATGCTATACAACATTTACGCATAAGATCAATCTACGACATCTTACACGGTAATCGCAGAATATAAAGATGACAAAGCAATAATTTTCATCAATGCAGACCTTCTATTAGCTTCTAGAAATTTACAAAATCACCTACATCTTATGGAAAAATGGTATACTAACTGGAGATTCAAAGTCAATTAAGATAAATCTTTTCAAACTACATTCAATCTAAAAGTCTCCATGTCTAAATGTTAATATTTATAGAATCCAAATTTCATCTTCATAAACAGTAAAATACCTAGAACTTCTATTAGATCGTGAGCCCAACACATTAAATCAAAATGGTTACAATTAAACAATCGCTTACGAACTACGCACAATAAGCTCACTGCTGCACAGAAATAGACACACTAAATTAAACATCAAATTAATMATATATAAAACTCTTTTAAAACCCATCTGGACCTACGGGCTCTAGCTGTGGGGTAGTGCAAAAAAATCAAACATACAAAAAACTCAAACTTTTCAAAACATTTCCCTAASAAAAATATTAAATGCCCCTCCCTTTGTTTCCAATCTTACACTCCATAATGATCTAAAAATMGCTACAGTGCTTGATGAAGCAAAATGCTACTGCAAAAGATTTCACACCAAATTGAGAAGTACTCAATTCTAATCCTCTTAAAAAAACTATTTACCTTGTCCATTCCAGGTAATCCCTCAAGACAGCTTAAGAGAAGATGRTGCAAGACCTTCTATCATAAATTTAAAATAGCTTAACTTAACCAACCAAAAAAATAAAATGTCGAAATTGGTATTGTCACTAATGGGTGACCTCAAAATATTCATGTAAATTACTCTGTGCAAATTTGCTTATTATTCTTGATAAGAACAGATTGTAAATTTCTTATAAAAAAAAAAAATTTTGTATTTAGGATGTATGATATATGAATTAAATCAGTAAAATCCAATTATTATATTATATTTTCAATAAAATGATTTAAGTATCAATTATATGTACATTGTTTGCATCTTAGAAAATTTATTTTAAAATTATAGGATATTTTAATAGTTTCATAGGTTTTCCATTATTATTTTTGCTCCTAAAAATCTAGATTAAAAAAAAAGACACATTATTCTATAAGAAGTAGGTAGAATAGTTTTGTTACCTACTGGCTTACTACTCGTATATGCTTTTAAAATGCATTTATATTTATAATTTACAGCATCAATAAAGATTCATTAACGCCGCATTGTATGCTTCAATTTACGTCACCYTAAAACATTATATTACCTAGTGATTTCTCGTGAAAACCCTTGAACACCAAGACGACATACATTTTACTTTGTTTTTTATGTGTTCATTATGTACTAATAAACAAATAATACGAGTAATAATATAATATTATACACAATTCTTACTTTTGATGAATCTGAGGTGGGCAAAACACGTGATTACCATGTTAACATGATGGTAAACATGTAAAAATGAAATGTGCGATTGTTTTTTTTTCAATACAAAAAACACCTAAAAAAAAAATATCAATAGAAAACAAAATGATATTGAGTAACTATAAATATACATTTATCATTGAAATTTTTTTTATTTCAATGCATCTWTACACTGAATCATGTATACGTGTATTGCCTATGGCTTGTTTTGTTTTAATATTTGACAAGTAAAAACTAAAAATGAAATTCAATATGGACTGTAGTTTTTTACGTTAAAACATTAGCTATCTTTCGTCCATCGTACCTACCAATAAAACTAGTTTTGCGGTAAGCAATCTGAAAAYATATTTGAATTATTTTTGAAGTTTACTTRAGAATTATAATTTAACTTTTTTAAATTATGACTATTATAGTCTTATCTAGTAAGGAAAATATAGTTGAATGTGATTTTAAATTGTAAAAATTTAAGAATTTTTAAACTGTGTTAATACGGAATTAAATTTRTTTAAATCGGGTCAATTGATCTCAAGTTAACTTCATAAAACATTTATATATTTTCAATTTTATTATCGTATTGTTAGTTTTGTCGATGCGATGGATACAAATTATTTTRTTACGCTTTTTAGTAAAAAATTAATTTGTCAACCATAGATTAGTGAAATTTGCTAAGCCAGCTTTCTTTTAGACACACATTAAACATCATTCACACGACAAGCAGTGTTAAAGAAATGGAATGCACCTATACTGAACTCCTTAAAAACCGAGGGTTTTCCATTAAAAAGTCCTAATAAGTAATTTGTCTCATTGACAAATCTTCCGTAAATTAACCTAGATAGCTATATCAAATATTAAAGGACTATCCGACTAAAAGAAACCCGTCATTTATTTTTCAACCTAAAAATAGCAAACAGACTGACTAACATAATAATGATACCATTATAGAATTTAGTTGTGATTTCGTTCGCTAGTTAAGGACATATTTTATTAGATTGCGCATCAGAGATTTGTTGATCGTGACGGCTGCCAAACACAAATCTGGAAATATCTAGCAATAATCACCAAAAGTCTCAATTTTTTCAAATGATCTGATCAAATTTAAAACACTAACTACCRTATAATCCGTATGTTACTATATTCGATTTTAGTTTAATATTTTTGAAAAAAACATCACTGCATTATAATATTATGAATTTAACACAAATAAACAAAGTGAAATAATTATGTATCACTGTTCGTAAATTAATTTTTATCATAATATTCATGCCAGTTAAGTATAATTGGTAATTTAAATARATTGTATGTGTTGAATGTTCATCTAAAATTTTATCAAAATAACTTTTACTTACCGTGTCTAATAAGTCTAATATTTTTGAAAATGCAAAATACCATGATGCAACATGTATCTAGAACAAATAAATCAGAGGTATCATAAATTTTTTTAAAGCAAGTACATATAAATACAAATAAATGGTAATTTTAATATTATACAATTCAAACTAAAGCTGATATGGACAATGATCATTGGTACAAAGGTGATATTGACTTAGTTTTATGGGAGTGTGTGATCACTAAAATAACACTAGGTAATTAATGTTTTTATGCATGACTTTGGTAGATATGTATTAATGTTACACATTTTGTTGAGTATAATATGCTTTTTGATACGTATCTCATCTGGCCTATTCTCAACTATAATACCTTATAGGTATCTAAGTATCTTATAAACGTATAAGATAAACATATAAAACATAATATTATATTATATGCAAAATTAAAATATATATGACAAAAAATTAGGAATACATTAACTTAATATTCTAAATATTTAATACTTCTTGTTTTCTTACTTGAAAATGTATCAATTATTTGTTTAAGATACATTAATAAATGCAAAATAATAGTATCTGAAATGTATTGAATCASGTACTTGGAATGCATTATTATAGAGCATACAAAGATATCGCTMTGCATTTCAATCAGAATAAGTAGTAAATCTATTAAAAATAATTTTAAGTGAGTTTGAAGCCACCCAAATCCAGTGACACCCTATCATGCAATCTTTATTATACGATTGCTCGTATTAGCTATTGCGATTGTATTGCCATGTTTTAGTATCATCGTGAAGACTAGACTTAACAAGAGATGGGGAGATGGACCATAAACGATTAGATCTGCTGTATATTATACAAAACTATAAGCTATAATATAGTCATAATAACTTATAAAAAATAACTACACAATAGAGTATAGTTGTATCAAAATCATGATAAATGATGATATAATGTACGTATATTGTACGTATGTCACTATGTGTATTATACATTATGTATTACCTAAAATGAAATATAAATTCGCTTAATATGAATATGATCAACAATATTATTTTATAAGCTTATTAAAAAAAAAATGTCAAGTGTGTAATAGTGAATGAATCAAAAAATAAGACAAACATTTGAATTGTATTTTTTTTATGCCATACTTTATTATGCTATTTTTTTTGATAATAATTAATATTGCTGTTATGTTAATAGACGTTTGTATTGGACTYCTTCAATTTTTTTGTATTATCAATGATTCCCCAGCCTCACGAAAGTTAAATTTGGTGTTGTAACTTATTTTTCCATCAGTAATTTGATATTAAATTTGTTTAATTTTTATGAGATTTTCGAGATTCTATAATAATAGTTAGTATAAATTCCTAAAATATTACATTGGTAGTTTATTCAGTACTAATGTTATAATATTATAATATAACCTATATTCAACCCTATAAAAATCAATTTCTCACCTAATTACAGTAAAAATAAAAATCATAATGTTTGACCAATTACTAATTTATTATATTAAAATAAATTTAATAACTTTTTGTATTGTACAAGTACATTGTTAATTAATGCATTCAATTAGTTATTTTTTATTATATACATTAATCAATTACAGGTATTATGTTTATTTTTATTTGCTAATTTTGGACTGATCAGAACATTATTTAAGATTCTGAGCGTAACGATGAATGTATTGTATTTAAAATGATTTGTGATTTTTCAACTAAACATTGATGATATTATATAAGCTGATATTCTGCAGTAAATTAATGAACTCCAGTCAATTAATATTTGATATGTAGGTACTGCACACAAGTTTGTTTTTTATAACATACATTAAAAATGTTAGTAGAAAATTCCCAAACATTTTTTACGCYTATATCAAAGAAAAGTTYATTGGAAAGTTACGATATTTATAGTCATGAAATATTTTCAATTATTATTATTATTATTTTTGTATTTGATTATTTATACAAGTATGCTAGGATGGCACAATGGCTTATATTCAGAATCATTTTTCGTATGCAATGAACTCAAATATAATACATTAATTTTAATTAAAATTACATGCTCGACATTCGACAATTACTGTACCTACAACTGAGTGGTATCCACTTGTCAATCTTTATATAGTTATAAATAAAAATATAATTGGTTTGAACATTTAGTATTTAAACTATTACTTAAAAGTATTAAAACAGTTAAAATATTTATTTATTTTAAAATTTACAAAAAATGTATGTGATTTATTAAATTCTATCTAAGTAATTCCATTACAACGATGTCATCATCAATATCAAATGCAGGCTAAAGTAATTTTTACGTTACAAACATTGAGTTGGATTATTGATGACAATCTCCAAGTGTCTATCAAGTTTTTCTTGTACATTTTATTTATGTACATTGTAAATTTATTTTTCAAATTCGATTTCTGTGTATTTTATTGAAGTGTATTGACAATAACATTTTCGTAGAATACTTCTGTGTCAAGTTTTTTTTATCTATAATTGCTTCATTCACATATGTTATCTAAATTTTAGGAAATTATCCAAGTATTCTCTAAACGAYTTATAAGTACTTTAAGGACTTGATCTAAGAATGTAGATAAAGAATTTTCCATTGATACTTCTATTCGCTAGTTCAAATAATTAATTTTGGAAAATGTTTGTTTCATATAGATGTAGTTTTATAAAGTACAATTTTCTTCCATTTTAATMATTTAGTTGGATTGTTATGAAAACTGCGTGTAATATTTACTGACATTTAAAACTTGGGATTATAGTATTACAGTAGTATAATACCTAGTATAACCAAATCGAAAAATTTAATTTTTTTTTTACATTAATTTTATTAGTTTTATTATTATATTGAATAGTATTGTTTTATAAAATATTTATGAATTTACTTAATAAATTGGTCACATGAGTACGTCTTAGTGACAAAACAAAAGGCCTCTGTATTATACACATTCTATGATTTTAAGATATGAACATCAAACATATTTTAACCAATTACCGCAATAACCGTGATAACCGAGTGTTAAGCTCCCGGAATCACTAKCTAGAATCGCTAAATTTCCACCATCGTCCAATTCGTTATTTCTACTAATATACTTAAGTAAATGTATAATATAATATGTAAATTTATCCTAATAGTGAGAGAATAATTCAGACAAAATTCGGGTCTAATATCTTTTTAGGTTATACAAATGTTTATCTTTAAAAGTTTTGGACCTTGTCAAGAAATTAGAATTTTCTATTTTATTTTAATAAATTCATAAATGTATTATTAATGAAAATGCTGTAATTGAAATTTGAAAGATTTAAATAAATTACTTATTGACTAGGTTTTTATCTAGCTAGAAAATATTTGCAAGCACCTACTTAATCTAAGTATCTTTATGTTATTGACACACTTCCTGACCTTGTTAGTTACTTTTATAAAATTCAATATTAATACTGAAATGGTTAAAAACGATTTGTAATGCTAACTAGGAACTAATTATAGTAAACGTAAACTTTAAGTTAGTAAATATATTATTATGTTAATTATACTTGATAAAAAATATTTTTACCTCATGTGCAATGTTACTTTTGGTATTATCAGGATGACATGCATGGTTCCACAAATAATTAAAAACTTCTGGTCTAATTAATTGCTAAAATAAAAATTTCATCACGAAAATAATTTAATAATCAATATATTATTATTTTAGAATAATTATTTTTTAAATATAAATGTATAATAATTTTATAAACACATTAATTGAAGTGTTATAATAACACTATTAAATATATCCAATGTAATAATAATATTAAGGATTTAGCTATTAATATTTTTGTTTCAAATTTTTTATTAAAAACACCCATTTTTTAATTTTTATTTGTGTTATCTATTACTAACACATWACATTACGAATTTGTCGTTCATAAAATCAAGAATAAAGGTAAATAAAATACTATTTTAAAATGTACAAGGAACTTACAGTTTTTTAAATTCTCACTCATTATTTCAAAATTAAAATATCATAAAAAAATTATGAGACTCTCCAGACAATATTCTTGCTTTAAAATTTATTAATATATCGATTAACTCAAGTATTAAAATTAACAGAGTAAAATTAATTCTTCTCAACACAAAAATTGAACAAACACATATGTGTATAATGTTTTTAGGAGTTCTTAAGAATATTGTTATAAGTATATGTATATATCTGCACAGATACACGTGGTTGATTCATCATATCATTAGTTCAAATTAAATTATTTCTTATTGTAATAATAATAAAAAAATATGTATTATAATTTATAACTTTTATAAACTCACGTAAGCTAAAATGTAACTATTAAATATAGTCTGCATTAAGTTATAGAATAGGACCATGTACTTAATGTTAATTGGTTCTCGGTTTTTCATTAATTTTGGGCCCAGCTTAAATACAAATGTTAAGTACAGTGCCAAAATACTGCATACTGGCCATGGTGAATTAACAAATAACCATGAGTCAATTGTTTTATCTAAATAAAAATATTATGATATTATAGGTACTTACAAAATATAATGTTTTAAATAATAAAATGTGTTATAGAAAAAAAATTGCAAATATATTTTTAATTTATTTTATAATTAGTAATAATATCTGTTGTACATTTATTAACATACCTTTTTAGTAAAAATTAACTAACCTGATTTTAACTCTTTGAATAAGTTTTGGAAAACATGACCATGTGTTTCATTCATGATTTTATGAGTCGCCTCTACCAATTTCTATATTTTAAAATATTTATTTCCTGAAACAATAATGGTTAAGTATTGTGTTAAAGATTATACACCTAGTACCCACCTATATAACTAATATCACTAAACATATTGTTTAAATGTAGCGTGTTATTTTCAAAATAAAATGCTAACGCGGTTTCAAATAATTCCAACCTAGTTGAGCTGTGTTTTAAATTGCAGTTTAAAACTTCCCGATTCCCCAAGTGTTGGTAACAATAACATTTGAAACAGAAACAGAATGTATTGATAATATTCCTTTGAGTWATTATTCTAGAATCAATAATAGTAGTTTGAGTGGTATTCTCTGCTTTAATTATCAATAAGGTATAGTTAATTTTTTGTCTGTTATTATAAGTGATAAATAATCAGAGTTGGAGTTTTGTGATCTCACGAATAACACAATAAATAATATTATAATCGTATTTCTCCAATAAAATTGGAAACACCACTTTGTGAAAGTTAAACACACTTTGTATGTCCTTAATGTTAGGAAATATATATAATTGTAAGAGGACGTGATGCTCGTTTTTGCTGTCTTCGTCTTATATTCACATATTCTAATAAATTTAAAATACTATAATACTATATGATCTTATTATTAGTTTTAATGTCAGAGACTTAGAGTATATTTACCTATTTTCAATAGATAGATAAGAAAATAACTGGTTTCCAACGATTTATCGATATTTTTTATATTATAAAGCGAGATGTAAGAATGTTTAAATTTCAATAAATTATACAGGTACCTAGGTATTATGATGCATATGGTGTATGTATGGTCTATAGACTATAATGTTCTAATAATTCACATTAAGATTGAAATATCGAAAAATCGTATGGCAAGAAAATGTTATTTTTATCGTTGAAAAATTTTATGGGAAAAGATCAATTATTTACTATAATATTCAATATAATAAAATTGTATTGAACGAAAATATATTTTGTTATGATGCCTTGGTAGGGAGAAGACAAGAACCTCAGGAACACGCCATCATGAAAGTATGAAGTTATGATGTGATTGGTTATTATATCAAATTTTTGTTCATAAAGATAACGCAGTCATTAGTACCTATCTTATTTTTCATAGTATTGGTAATAATTCTTAATAATCGAATCGGTACGTAAGAATCAATTTTATAAAAGGTTAGGTAACCTATCTACATTAAATCTTTAAAAGCATTTTAAATTAATTTATCAGTCCATTTTATTTTATTTAAAAAGTGCTTATTTTTAATGAAGCACATTAGCCTTTTTTAACTGATGGAAAATTAAAAGATAATGAATTTTATAAAATGTGTTGTATTGTTATCATTTATTTTTATTTTTATTTAGTGTCTCTGATATTTATTAAATATTGGTTTTAGACATAAAGTACAATATAAACACATTGTGTGTTAATACTTATTATACAGAGTATTTTACCATCATGTTTGTTCAATCAATAATTATAATACCGAATATTTTAAAAACATTTCAAAAATTGAATCCTTTATCATTTTCATTGAGAATGCGAATTAAAAATATGGAATATTTAAAATTTAGGCAGGAGAAGAATGGTAAATATTATGTATAATACGTATGTATTAGTCCTATTATGGTGGGCACTCTGTATATTGATCTATCAGTTTTGATTCGTGGTTATAATACATAATCGGTTAGTAAATAAAACAGATCTGAGCACTATAGTAACTACTTATACGTATAGTTACAGTAATATACAGTAATATTATTGTTTCTATGCATTGAAATATTTCTACGTTGACGGTTTCGATCAATTTCGAACTATATTATGCTTTTGGTTGTATATATTCATTAATGTTAGATTCTCAGTAAATAGATCCCTCTGTGAGTTACAGATTATTAGTATATTATGTTCTGTTRAAATAAAATTCTGGTAAGAAATATTTATTAGATACCTATGTAAGTAGTATAGGTGTGCTCAGACTTTTATGGTAGGGTATGCGTATAAGGTGTGAAATGATCTCCCCTAAAATAAAATGCCCCTAAATAAATTACCAAAAAAATAATAGGCTTTACAACATTTTTTTTACATTTTTTTAAAAATGAAATAATATTTTTATAAAGACGTGTTTATTGAAAATAATATTATTTCAATATTTTTTTACATGATTGAACCACAAACTTTGATGGTACTTATATTATAGTAATTATTTTGTTAGTTTTTCTTTCTAAAAAGTGTTATTTTGGCACAGTTAATTGTATATGCTCTCTAAATAAGTATCTGCCTCCAGCCTATAGGGCAGCAAACATATACCCTATATACCCCRTGATGGTAATCACATAATGAATTTGTCTCTATAAATGAACACTTACAATATTATTAGCGAACGTTTGCATTTAAACCCTGAATGTTTATAGTAATTCGTAATAGACTCACGGTCATTAATTTTGCAAAATATACCTACATGCGGCTATGGTTCAATAAATAAGATTGAGTTATTTAATACGTAGTGGAAATATCAATATTTGTATATCTAAGATATAACTTATTAGTTTCAAGAAATATTTAGTATCAAATTCTTTAGGTACTCCTTTCAGAATTTTGATTCCTTGACACCTGTAATGGTTTCAAGTTATGTGTACTACTGGATGGTTGGCCGTGATACCATATAAAACAGTAGTAAACCTTTTTAGCATGCAATATTACTATAAAGCTGTAATACTTACGTAGCTATTATTATAGATTTATTGATTTATTATTACTATGAAATTCAATATTATAACATGATAACATGATAATACACATGTCCATTTTAYACTTTATGTTGCATCCACATGGACATTTTTTAAATGTATTTATTAGGTACACCTATTATATTAATTATTAAACGAATTAATCAAATTCTATGACTTTTCATACATATCTAGTCATCTAGATATCATACATTTTTAAATCCCTTGGGCTATATTTTTAACTTTATGACATTATTTTGTGTTTAAAAAGTTAATAACAGTATGATAAAAATAATGGACAATTTAAGACTAATTTTATTTATGCGTACAAATTTAATATACCTGAACATTTTTTAATGCATGTAGGTACTAACTAAACAATAATTTAAGTAATATTGAATTATTTCAAGTTTTTACTAAATACTTTATATGTATTTTTTAAATTACAATCAGGCAACAAAAGAACACATTGTTATGTTASGTATGAATAACATCCAATTTTATCATAATATGAATTTTAAACGAAGGTAAGTTTTTTTTAAATTCCATTAAGAAAAATTTATCACGAATTTCGTATTCAATTAAGGTTCATTAATCGAGAGTTTTCAACGTTGATAGTTTGGAGTACTTTTAATGTTTAAATAACTCAAAAATAGTCAAAATATTTTAAAATTATACCATGAATACAATTAATTCCAAGTATTCAAGATTTTTTTTTTTGTTTACTAAACAATTATCGTAAGTATTCCAGTATTTGTGTTTTTTTTTTAGATATTCACTAAGATTTCATGAAATAAACTTCAATCTTCTCTCTCACCTACTAGATTTAATTTCCTACTAAAAATCACCATTGAAACATTTTTACTACTGTAACTCTTGATGATAGACACACAAATATTAGAGACTCATTTTATAATTGTAACACTATTCATCACTCCATTTAAGACCAACAACTATAACAAATTTCAAATAATTTATTACCATAAATCTGTAGAGTTACATTATTTTACAACTATTACAAAYTACAAACTCATAAAAATATATTTTTTTGAAAAAGTTTGTCATTGWATTTTGATTCAGTGCACCAATTAATCGGAGATAAATGGATAGTACTACATTTTTTAAAGAAAATGTGTAGTGTGAATATAATTGAGTTAGGTTAAGAATGAATTTTTTTTATTGAATTAGAAATGCATATCAGTGTATATATATAATATGTATTAATTAAATCGATTTCAAATATGTTTCCATTAATCATAAAAATTATAAAACGAAAGGTATATTACTTTATTCAATGGTTTTTGTTGCGTCAGTTTAGTAGAAAAGGGGTTTCCATGCAATAATTCAAAAGTTAACATTTTATTAATAGAATATACAAACATATTTTAGCATACAATTTCCCTTTTAAACCATTCATATTAAGATTATTTAGGTAATTTAACTATTCATAACTTTTAAATAGTTTTAGAAAAATATAAATACTTAAAAAGGTTATTTCTTATACCTTTTGTTAAAAATATTTATAATTCACTACAATATATAAAATAGGTAGTGAAATATTTAAAACTTAATGCGTTATTTTACCAACTACTTTATTAAAAAATAGGTAATTAATATATATATATATATATATTGAATTAAAGAATTAATAATTATCTTACCTTTAGACTTTAGTTATAATTTTATAAAAATTACGTTACTGTTGTTTTGAATGCTTAACTAATCATATTTATTGTTGTCTATGAAATGTTATCAATAAACATAATAGCTGTACTGCTTTATACTGACATTTATTGGTCGATGAYACTCAACACGTTATCCACAAGAGACAAACTTCTGAACTGAACAGTATTGTTTCCCTAGCTTTGTTAATATATCAACTGCACTAAAATGTGTACTAATTACGATATCAATAATTATTTGAGTAGGTATGTGACGTAGGCATACTTAATRCCTAATCAAAAATCGTAAATTATAGATAGGCAACTCGTTTCTGATAATTATTAGGTGGTATATAATAATTTGTATACTACTATTGAATAGATAGACTTTAAATTATAATTGTAACGATTAGATGCTTTTATATAATCCATTTAGATAGATTGATTTTTTTAAAGCTTGATTAAACATTTAACGTCTACCTTCCACCCTTGATAGGAATTTTACCACGATTCGGATTGCGAATATTATAAATAAATTCCTTGCTGTTCGTATTTTATTTTCTCCATAATATGTGTTATTTTATGAAAACACGTTTTATTTAGTACATTTACCTAAATTAATTAATATAACATTATAAATATAACTTTTTTAATATTCTACTAAACACATTTTACTATTTATTGATGTATGACTAATTTTATTATTGTTTATGTAGGCGCTACCAAGTGTCAACTAGAGATAAACTATTATAAGTATGCATTTCCACGAATACTATGAGTATTTTAACTTCAGTTTAATTATTAGTTACCAAATAAAGAGTAGGTACTAAAAACAAATGTCAAATTATACCCAATTATTTACATGATATTTAAATTATTWTTTTTTGGATGACATTTTTGAAAGTGAAAATGTACGGATAAAAATATATTAAGTTATGAGTTATTTAAGTCTAAGCGTGAATTATCAAAACGTCCCGAAATAAACACTCGAGATTAAAATATATGTAGATTAGTTTATAGATACTTCACAATAAATTTATTTGGATTAAGAATAAAAAAAAAATTGAAAATTATTCAACTATTTTGAATGAATTGGACGGTACAATTTATTCTTAATAACTTACGYAATATTAATTATTTATTCGTGATTCATGAATAATCTTTTCAAAATAGTTTGACAATTTGTTTATATATCTATTGAGTATATGAGTATTGTTGCTCAGACTTTTACTCATTTTTATTTTATTTTTATCAATTAGGTAGTTAACATTTTAGCTCAGTAGTAGAGTTTAATCAATACAAAACATATCTTGTTGATAACAAAAAATCAAACCACTGCACAGAATACAAATATAATGAAATTATAGTGGTAGAATAATAATAATATGAAATGTATGTTTGATTAAAACCTAATTAATATTTTGCTAATTGATATTTATAATGGAAGTTTAATGAAAACGATTGCAAAATTATAAATTCAACCACTTGAAATAAACTATGATTACTTGTACTGAGAATAATCAACACTTTGACTATGAAACTATTTGCTTAAAGTTTCGCCGTAGAAACCAAGTGATTCACATTTTTCATAACTTAAGGAAATTTTACGTCCGTCAATATTAATGACTTGTGAAAGGAAATTTGATAAAATATTATTGAGATAAACAAAATGAATCATCTATTCGTGAAATTTAATGAAGGTCTAAATTGATTTATTAAAAATAGGAGTCCTCCATTTATATTTTAATTTTTAAATTCTCAGTAGACTTAAAAAGAATTATGTTGAATATATATATATTTTGTTTATTACATCTTCTTTCTCTTAACTCATTAGTAGGTACTTAATTAAAGTAGTGACATAAATAAACAGAGACATTGGCTCACTTGCTATAATCCACCTCGTAATGAATTATGTGATTAAAAATCAAATTTAATAAAGTTTTAAATTTATCGGTGTAAAACTAGTTTTAGAAAACAGTCGAAATRTTAATTTTATAGCGTTAGAAATTATAGATGGAGGAAAACAAAATTTGGTAATATTTCATACGATCATTTTATAATTAACACAAAGCTTTATTTAAAAAAATAATCATGGTCTGATTGTTACTTATCGAATAATAATTATATTTCAAGAGTTATGTGCATGCAAAAATTGTGATTTTATCTACTTAGTAAGAAAAACTAATAGGTCTCTACTTATCAATGGAAAATCACATAAATATAAGGGCGTGTTTATAAAACGTATTCTTTAAGTAACTATAACTAATAACAACTATTATTATTTTGTGATGCAAATTGTGTAGATATTAAGTTCGTTAAAAAAAAAAAACACAATATGTTACATTATGTTAATATCATATATTATGTTATTATATTATTATATATTATTTCGGGTAAATGCAAAGTACATGCCATTTTCACGTGGGAAGGCCATAATGGCAAAACCCAAAATTCTTAAAGTAAAAAAAAAATAATTTTTGTAAGACTTAATAAATATAATGAATATTAAGGACAAGTATGGTTTGTACTTTAAAAAGGTTGTTTTTTTTTACTAGACAGGGGGGTAGGCAAGTTACCTTCCTACCTACCATTCTATAGTTGAAATTCGCAAATAATGTCCAATARTTTTGTTTAAATTCCATAAATGTCTAATATGGGCTGTATATTGTTTATTATAATTGTAAATTTAGTGAGTATACTGTAAAATAAATTACAGACTTTTGAGTRTACTTCTTCAACCGATAAATCTCTAAGTAAAAATGCTTATAATTTATTAACATTCTTAATATTTTACATTGAGAAAAATTTGAAAAATCTGTTTAGAAAGAAGATGGTTGCTATTTTTTTWTGTGCTAAAATAGAAAAACTATATCTCTTAACTTATATTTATTTATTAACCCACTGCAACATAGCAACAAAGGCCATCGTTTGATTATTCTTAGTAGGTTTTTAATTGTGGAAGTTAGTGTGGTAGGTTGGCAACATGTGCATTGTGCATGTATGGCAAAGACTTTGCCATTAATACCCTAGTGAACCCCTTCTAGGAACTTATGGTTTATATTTGACACTTTATTGACACTATAATGTGGAGTATGGATGACATTAGTATTTTGGGAGACTATACAAAGTTTAGTGGGACTAAGTCCCTCAGTCATCTTATTTACACCTATGCTGATAAGTACATTTAAATAGGTACCTGGGCCATCGACTTTTTAATCTTCTGGTTTGAGAGTGGGAAAGTTTAGTTTTTTAATTTTCCAAAAAAATAATATATAATATTATGTAGTTGAATCAATGRTCTCAATCTTATAAATAAATAAGATAATATCAATATATAAATTTAAATAAAACACAGTAACAGTAACTTCAGGTTTTTTTAATTTCTGTACAATTTTAAGCTTAAAAATTAAAAAAAACTCAATACAATATTTTAAAGTTATTCAGCATTTTTTTTTGATAACATAAAACTAACATTAACGGTATGTTTTTATTGATATGTTAAAATAGAAAAAATATTTTGAAGTACAAAATATTGTTTCAAATTTGTATTTAGTCATACAAATATTCATTTCAAAATTAATAATATCTATTTAAATATTTTACAATTAATAATATCTATACAAATGCTAATTAATGATACATTTTTTTTTAAATATTTTCAAACACAATAAAACTTATTTAATATGGAAACCGGTCTTTTATGGAAAAATAATTTGGTTCTTGCAATTTTTTAAATACATCATGCACTGAGTAAGATGGTACTTGCCTAACGTGGTAAATGGAAACACTATTTTTGTCATGTACCTGTTYATCATAGAAATACCTATTTTAAAATTATTGGTTGATAAATAWAATCTTTATTGGTTAAGATTATTTCGTTGCATTACATTAATTTTTTCATTAGTGTTGTGGTGGTGTTTTGTCCTTATAACGCCTTGGACTGCATAAAGTTTTTTTTATCACAAAATGCAATATAGCAAAAATCAATAAGTTTTCAGCTTTAAATAAAAAATTAAAATTAATTAAATCTAGTGATAAAGATTAATTATAAGTGAAACAAATTTGTGAACTTTTCAAGTGTGAAAAAAGTCAATTAGGTATATAATATTATATTAAAGTAAAAAAAAGAAATAAAAGAACAATAGATGAATGGTAAGTATAACTATACAAATTAATGCAACATTTAAGAAATAAATCTACTTATAATTTATATTTTAGGATACGGCTGAATGAAAAGAAAACTAAATTCAAATTCAAACAAAAAAATAATTAATTTAGCTCGAGAGTGGTTTATAAGAGCTAGAGCAAAAACATACCAGTTTCTGAACCAATCATACGGTCTAAAGCACATCAAATTACTGAACAAATTAACAAATGATATACACGATATTCAAAGCATCAAATGGCTGGTTGGAAAATATCAAAAGTTGGAATAATAATATTGTTTGGCATCAAATTTTCTATGGGTCAAATAAAGTTTATATAAAACATTTTGACGAATGGAAGGRGAAATTATAGTTAATTATTTAAAGGTATGAATCTAAAAATATTTATAATAGTGACGAAATAGATTTATTCTTTTGCATAATTTATTATTACCTAGCAAAACACTATTAGTGAAAAGTGAAGAGTRTATAAAGAATATTAGATATTCCATATTACATATTAGATATCTTTTTTGCTATATATCGAATTATTAAAGTAGAATCAAAATCCATAATTACCCTTAATTTGTATAATAATAGTTAGAAGGTAACATGGGAGATATATTTAAGAACTATTGGCAAGGTGACATATAAATAGTATTTCTGCAATTTTTTCTAGTCAAGCGATTGCACTTAACTAATTGGTATATATATTTAATATTCAAACTTTTTCAGGTTATCTGTCGAATTTCATATGAGTATGGATAAAATTAATTATAAATAAATATTTGTAAAATGTACTTAATAAAACGATTTATATATGATAGGTATAACCAACGCTTATGATGATTTGATTTTATCTACAGCATCAATTTGGTGAATTGTATCTTCTTTATCTTTTTTGTCAGCTATGGCTATTATGATTTTATCATCCTTATAAGCGGATTTATAAAAATCCATGAACAAATAAATAAATGCAAAGATATCGATAACTACGATAAATGACATCACTCGTGGCATAGTGCAGTCATATTTATACATATAAGCCATGTAAGCTACCGCGATGAATAGTTGAGCCTAGAAAAAAAATTTTAAATTACACGAATTGTTGTAACAATAAACAAGTAAATAACATGTAAAATACTTGGTAACAATAAAATAATTACGTTTTTGATTACTCACAATTTGTAATTGAGTCACGTAAACTTTCCACCACAGATATTTTTGCATATATGGTCCAAGAGCAGCAAGGAAATAATATCCGTACATAGCGATATGGACACTTGAATTAAGCAATGCACCATAAGCAGCTTTTTCACCTGTAGACGATATTTAATATTTTGCGGATTACTATTCATCCAATGTGTCTAGGCCAAGGGATAACCTATTAATATTTGGAGGGCCACGTAATGAATCTTGAAATTGTTTGTGGGCTATCAAAATTGCAGACGTTGGTAAAAACCAATGAACAAAAATTATAAATTCATCAGAATGTATAAAATTACGGCTTATACTTTTTGTTCTTGTCTGAGGGTTGGGTAAAATTTGTCTCTGGTCTAACTCATACGGTATAAATATGTGAGAAATGTAAACTATTTTTTAAATATTAATCTAATATAAAACAATAGTTAGATTAATTAAATTTATAAAATGATATTTTGTTAGTAATCTATTTTACACTTCGAATTTTAATTATTTTTAAATGAGTACTTTGTTTTTAGTTTTTGATATGACGTACACATACCTATATTTTTTATTTACATTACGAATCAATGTAATTTCAGTGAAAAATTGTTGAATTTTCCAGATACATTTTATATATATATATATTTACGTATAAAATATAAAAAGTGGTCTGTTAAACATATATATTTTTGAAAGAAAATTAAAGACTTCAATATTCTATATCATTATTAATTTTAATTTTTTAGACGTTAGCATGGATTTTTAATTTCAAAATCTTATTTTTTTATTTTCATAATGAAAATATAAATTTTATTGATCAATAATTTTTTGAATTGCATATTCTGATAAAGGTTACTGACTATGGTATACGTTTTAACGGTATGGGCTACATTTATCAATCTATATTGATTTTATTTAGTATAAATAGAAACCAACAATAAAATATTTAATAAAAATTTATTTACTTTTAAAAAATCTTATATGCATCCAACACGATATCACCATTTTTGTATGATGGTAAACATGTAAAAAAGTTACATGGGATTGTTTTTTTCTCAAAACAAAAAATACCTGTAATCAATATCGCGTAATGGTAAACGATAATATAATGTTGTATTATTATTTTAAGTGTTAATATACTCACTGTATCTAACAAGTCAATGATCTTGGATATGAAATAAAACCATGAAACAGTGTGTAGCTATAGAAAAAAAAATTGTATGTACAGATTATTAAACATAATTAGTACATTCAGTTGTGACTACATGACATTTTAACTTGGTAATATGAACTATAACAATTAATTTCACTGTCGTTCAAATCTAGAGATTCTAAAATGATTCATCCCTCATAATAACCTTTATAACATTATACATCCATTATTTTAATACATTTCATTGCATAGGGACATAACAATAATATATTTTAATATAAAAAAAAATGTTTCAACTAAATTTCATAACTAGATAGTATAATATGAACCCCAACCTACTATTTATAATTAGTTATTTTTATTTAATTATCTATAGTCAAATATCATAAAATAAAAATATTCAGTCTTTGAAATAAAATACAAACATTATACTACTAAATCATTATACATTTAAACTTGGAAGTATAAATAATATAACAATTATGTATTTAAATCTTTAAATATTGGATTACATAATAAATAAGTATATATTATTATCAATTTCAACGAGTTCTCATTGATTGTATTGAATATAGTTTAATTGGTTTTTATAACACCCCCCTCCCACCAAAAAAAAAACAAGAATTTTTCGTCCATTTAAAAATGACGACGCGACATGATTGGTTGTTTTCACACTAGTACATCTACTATATTATAAACTTAAAAGTACCAGAACTCGTAGTAGAACGTGTTTGTATATAGGTATTAGGTTGGTAGACTTTACACATATAACAGTGCATGTAGGTACGTGTATGTATATATACAAGTTTAGTTTGGCATAAATATATATAGCTATTTATTCATGTCCACGGATAAAAGATAAATTATAATCATTTAGTAGATCAACTAGTGTATGCTCGGAGTACTTAGCTCACATAGACAATATAATAGTACCTATTTTAATAAGTTATAGGTACTTATTGTGATTAAAGGTATAATTTAGGTATGCGCAATAAAATTGAGTAATACTGGAACCTATAGATTTGTTTTTTATAATATCTATATTAGCAATATCTCGTTTTAACTGACGTTCGTCGTAGGGATTTCTAATGTATTATAGGTATAGGTATATTTGCTTGCGTACATTGATTATAATTGCTAGCTTATAGTTAGATTATATAATTTCCATGCTTGGTAAATAACAGGTAAGTGTTATTGAATCAAAATGAAACACCCAAAATTAATTTTATTAATTACCACGGTGTCCCGTAATTTATTTATATCTTTACCATTTGGTATACCTAATTTGTTCGTAGTATTTCTTAAAGTTTTAATTATGAAATTAAAAAAATAGCCTGGTTCAAACATATTAACATACATCTAAGTAAATTTCATCGTTATTGGAATATCAGGTATGGTCAGTTAATGACGTCCATCTCATGAGTCATAAAAATATCGCTTCCATATATCACAGTTGTTTCCCGCAATATTATTGTGTTTCAAAAATATAATTTTAATCTGTAAGTATGTGGAAAATCTAATGAAATATGAATTGAGGTAGAGTATTGTGCAGGTAGTTGACATTTTTATTTAACAAATAAAAGTTGCTTTAAATGTAGAAGTCATTTTCTACTTTTCTAGTAAACAAATTTAACCAACAGATATAAAATATTTACGTCATTGTATTGTAAACACATTTATCGCTCTATTAGGAATCGAAACACTTTTATTGAAATATTCCTGTATAATATGGTCACTGCTATACTTGTTGATACAAGGATAAATAGTTTAATGCACTTATTATATTTATTATTATTATTATTATTTTGATTACATTTTAAAATTATTAGATTTTTTTTATTAATTATAATGCCAGACTCTCAAAAATATTTGCAAGACATTGTAGTTAAGGGKTTTTTTTTAAATGTTTTATTTAGAAATTATAATGAATAAAATAATATACTCACACATTTTATTAGATATCTCTCGTGTTGGGTTTCACTAGTGATATGACATAGATTAGTGAATATATACTTTGGTATACCAGGAGTCAAAACGATCTAAAATGAAAAATAAAAATGTGTTAATATAAACATAGTTTTTTATGATTCTGTCATATKACAGCTTATGTTATTTATTTTAACATCCAAGTTCCGGATATTGTCAAGTTTATTTTTCAATTTTGTTACTTATGAGTGAGGGAAGAGATACATTAGGTTTCCTGTATTGATAACTATAACTACGTGTACAAATAATAACTTATGACACAACATATCTCATAAAAACTGACTTTATATTATAAACCTCACATACAAAAAAAAATGCTTTTAAAATGAATTCCAATATTTGAGGTTTAGTTAAACAATATATATTTATATATATTAGTATATTTATGATAAATAAAACCCAAGTTTTGAAATGTATTTATGATTTTAAGTAATAGATGATCATTAGTTATCAAAATACCTAACTATATTTATACATAATACAATTTAATGATCAGTATCTATTTAATCCCAAAGTGAGTTTATGTTATAGATTTTACTTTATGTTTTACTGCAGAAATAATAATTTAAGAGAATATGTTTAATGTTTTCATCAAGATATGTTATAAAATTATGATTATTTATCATTTTAATAATTGTAGCTCAGTTAATTTGTACAAAACATTAGTTTTGATGAGACATATTTTCGTGAGTACTTACAAAATATGTGGGTTGTAACTTAATTCGTTAGTAGTTATAGACGACGCCCTATATTTTTTATCTTTGAATCTAATAAACGTAYTAGAAAATCAATTTTGGATGCATAAAATAGCGTTCAGAATTTTTAATTACTTAGAATATTTAATTTCACTGTAAAATATTTATCATGATATTCACACATGAAACAAGTATCTTAAAAACATTTTTATTAATTTTTTTACTATAGTTTATCATCATTAAATTAATTAAATTAAAATAAAACCATAAGAGAACAATCGAAATTGTATATTACAGCTGTTTTCTGATTAATAAAAAAATACTGATAAATATCCTCGGCTTTCAAACGTAGATGCCACACAGTGTTACTGTTGATTAGGTAGGTATTTAAAAGAAACAGGATTTTTGATTTTGATTTATAATTTATTAGAAGATTTTCTCAAGTATTTGTAGCCAATATGATTGTAAATATAGTAGTTTAGTTAACGATTTGCTGTTTCATCAACGTCAGAAAAATAATTATTACTGTAATGATTGTGTACAAAATATATTATGTTACATGTTCTTCGAGTTTAATTTTCAAATAAAAAGTTCGTAAAGGAAAAGTTTTTAGAACTCTAATACAATTTGAATAAGAATATATTACAATGCTTTTGTTTGTCACAAACAGCATTGAGTATTTGAGTATAACTAGTATAAGTAGTATTTATTTTATAAGAATAAATAGCTTAACGTAGTGTACTTAAATATAGAATTAATGCTAAACTTATAATTTTAAACAACYTTGAAAGATTCTTTAAAATTGTTTTTTGTAGTATTTTTAATACTAAATTCATTTTAAATGTATAATTATTCTCATAAAAAAATAAAATGTCAACTCACCCATAAACAAAGCAGGCTGTTGTAGGAAAATTGTATAAAGTTGAAAACCAAAATTATATTAGTAATTTTGAATGGTTGTCGATTTTCCATCATTTTGGGTCCTATTTTCATTACGAATAATAAGTATACAATGATTATTCCGAGCACTGGCCATGGCTTGCTTACAAATAACCATGAATCGATTTCTTCATCTATATAATAATATAATTTTTAATATTTAATTTATATTATGTTATTATATACATAATAGTATGTAAACATAGCTTATAAAAACACATTTGAATGTAGTACATACATAATATTTTGATAGATGTTTGAAACCTACAATTTAATATGTTTTAATATTGATATCCTCTTGGCCCATGTTGCCGCGAGTATGAATAAATAAATATAAATATAAAAATATTGACTTATTTTGTTATAATAAATAATGAAGAGGATCAGATATTGTGTATCAGCTTACAATCATGAACTATATGTATGCTTAAAAACTGACTGTACAAATTATTGCTCACCGTATTTAACTTCACTTTTCACGAACTCTTTGATAGAATCTTTTGTTTGAATTATGTAGTCTAGTATAGATGTATAAGTTTCCTTCATTTTTGTTTTATTTTAAATTTAAATGAAAACGTTTTTCATCAATATAAAGTGTTGATTCTTGAACAGAAAAAATAAATAAATTTATATTGATTAATATTGATTAATATTACAAAATAATATAATGATATCTGAATATTCATTATGTTAAACTTGTTGTAACGAATTACAATTTTTATTGATAATTATTTCGATAAAAATAAGTGTGTTAGTTATTAGGTAAAATAACTTACTTTTTTAATAAGCTTTTACATTGCTTATTAAATACAACACACTGATGTATTTAATTTAAAGTTGTTACCTTATTTCTAATTAAAAAAGATGATATTTTTTTCAGATTCTTAATACAGTATAAAATAATTAATTAATCTAATTGGTTTTGATTGTTCTATGATATAAATGGGTTTAGAACAAATTTGTTTCTGTTAACAAAAAACGACCGTGTTGTTTACTTCGTATTTATGTCTACACGTCGATAAAATTAAGACAAAACATTGCTTTCGTTATTAGAACTTCATATTCTTCTCGTGAACTATTTTATATTTATAATTAAATTAATGCGTAGTCACGAGCATGTATTGATTTAATTTGTACAACGCATTTTGACGAACTATTATACCAGTTTTMAATTACATATTCACTTTTGGTTTCAAATGGATAAATCTTGAAACCATACAAACGTTAAAATATAGTAACTCGTAAGTTTTATTGTCAATAAATGCACKCGAAACAGGCAAGCTCAAATTRAAGTYTCTAGATATGGTAGGTACTTAGATATTTGGCTATGAGTCCTGCCCTCGATGATAAAAGAAAACTATATCATTGTTATTAATATCAAAGATTCATTAATTGTAAACATTCTATAGGTATACGTGACTTGATGACTTGCCGTAATTGAATTCGAAATAAGGTTATAGAATGTTACCTACTCGAAACTAAAAACATGTATATTTTATTTAGTGATACGCTAATTTGGTATACAATATATATTTATTATAAAGCATAGTGTGACAATTTTTATTTTGTCTTGTTTTGCTACTTAAGAGTATCAGAAACTTACACCCGAAATTMAATTATGTTATTAATTATGTAAAGTCAATATTTGTTGCACAGTGATATTATAGTTTCATTGATTTATGGTCAGTAACAAAATAAAATACACGTGTTAAAATTTTAAAACTAACCTATAGTTTAATTTTAATTTTAAATAAGTTGCAATAGTCTACAATAAAATAAAAGATTATTCTTACGAGATAAATAAAAAGCATCAAACATTGTGTAAATAATATGT